CATGGATTTTGGTATTTTAAGCAATGTCAAGACAAACTGTACGAAAGCAGCCATCGGTGTCTCTGCTTTCCAGGGTGCGCAATGCCAGAAAATTACTTTGGGGACTGACAGAGTAAATAAATGCTTCATTCTGAAAGGTTTAATAGAAAAATAGACATGAATCTGAACTTTATACTGTAGGTAACTCAACAGTGCATGCTCTAATGTGCTGATATCTGTTACTTAATCAAATGAGAAAGAGAAAAGGAAAACTGTCATGCTAACATATGCTTCAAGCTAACAGCTAAGCTAACATAATAATTTGTTAATATACAGTAACTACACAGTAGTTGGAAATGATAATGATATGTATAAAAACTCTCCCTCTGAATACTTGACTAAGGTCTGCACCTTAAGATTGAAGTGGTTTCTCACCTGGGGAGGTGAAAACCGCTCAACCTAATGAACCCATTGTAGCTATTCTTGTGGTGTTAAGCATTGTAATGTTTTTGTTTTCTGATCATGAGAATCTGCTTCCTCTCATGCAAACAAAATCAAATTGGTTCAATACTTTTAGTTGGGAGTTGAGTTCCTACATGTCCCCTCCACACCCTCATTCCCTCCATGTGAACTGTGGGCATCACCACGCTGGCTAAGAGCAATATTAGGTGTCGTTCACTGACATAGATGAAAACTGTCATAAGAAGTAACACCCGGAACACACTGCCTGTGTGAGCAGTGCATGCACGTAGGCAAAAACAGACTGTGAAATTGGTCTTGTAGTGGTGATATTGACGATACACCACCTTCACTTCACTCTCAATGTCTACATCCCTCACAGACATGAAAAAATAAACACATTTCTTTTTAGCTCATCACTTCCTGTTTCCAATTTGAAGTAACACCCTCTGACAGTGTCTCTGTGGACAGAATCCCTTCATCTGTTACCATGAGGCTTTTTATTGTGAAATATGTGCAGGGCTGTGTTGTTGACAATGTTGTGGCTTGCATGGCTCCTTAAATGAGAGGAGTATCGGCTTTTAATTGTTGGAATACGATAGTAACAGCAGCAAGCAGCTCTACAGCAGCAACGCTGTCAGTGTGAACACTGCATACATGCAAGCCGCAGCAGTTCACAGGCTGCTCGCACTGGCAGTGTGTTCCAGGCGTTAGAATGGCAGACTTCAAATATGAAATTCATTGGCATTACCCTTTAGGACTGTACTTTATCCCATCTTAAAATTGACCGTTCGCTAAGCCCCACCCTCCTTAGTTACTATTGTTATGTCTGTCAAGCTTCCCATTCTTGCACTGCACATGTGCAGTTTACAGGGATAACAGGGACAGATTTACCATCCAATCTGTGGTTATTTTTTTTAAACACTACATCTTCAATTCAAACTAAAAGTACACAGAAGCAGGCTTTGCATTTCTAGCTGACAACCTTGAGTTTTGTTGGATAAACTAATGATAAAATGTAGCTAGCTAATGCTAAAACTCCTCGAGTCAGCTGAGATGTCCGTCTCCGATTGACTTTTTAATATCTCCATCTGACATATTTAAAACGAGAACGCAGTAAAAAGCTCTTAAATACGTAGTTGATGGCTGCATGCATGCTATCATGCTAAAAGATGGAGGCTGATGCTACATGCAGGCCATCGTCAGCATGCTGTCTGTCAATCCCTGTACAAAACATGTAAACATGTATTTTGTGTATTTCAGCTACTTAACTACGTAGTTCTGTTTCAAAAATTAAAATATAATTAAAATGCTGTTTGTTCTAAAGGAAACCCTGAATTGCTTGTTTGCAGACAAACAGTGATTAGATTTAGGATTTCCTTTATTGTTTGTATGATCAAGAAGTAGGCTTCACTTCTACAGGAGAAAAGGATTTCAGTTTGAGGCTTCAGTGGAGAGTTTGGCAAATGTAACCGTATCTAACACAAGTCTGGTTGGAGTTGCTGAAGTGTAAATGTCCCCAAAATAAACAAAGAGCAGGACTGAGCTGCTATCCCTACTCTAAATACTGATATAGTAGCATCTTGAATCCCAAACAGTGGATGCCTCAGTCCCGAACAGTATTTCTCTAACAAAAAAATGTAGTAACCTACCAACATGCCCACTGTCTGTGAAAGTAATGCTACTCTTGATTACTAATGTAGGTGGGCCTACTAAGCTAGTTAGCCAGATATGCTACTGTTTGCAGCTCATGTTAGAGCGGCTAAAGACAAAGTTTAACATATTCCACACATTTGCTCTTGTGTCTAACTTTTTTGAAAGACTACAAAAAGACACTGACCCTCCAAACTCAAAGTAATGCTCTTCTTAAGCTGCGTTCACACTACAAGCGTCACAGCAACAGGCTACAAGTCATTTTCAATGGAAGACGGTGACATGACGCTACAAACTAACACCTTGCACTTGTCTCTGTCGATGGGCATGACGCACTACAAACGATAGCTGAGCGGACCTCAACTTTTTTCAGTGCTCCAATGATGTGGTGAAGCATCAACCAATCATGTGTTTTTATTTGTAGCTTCAGTGCTGTGTTATTTAGCTTAGTTAGCTGAGGCTATGCTAGCTTTAAGTACATTGCAGTGCACACTGGGATGCAGTGATGCCGTAAAATGTGATGTTAAAATGGGGCTAAGACACTAGAGGTGGGGAAAAAATAGATACAGCATAGTATCACAATATTTTTGTGTGGCCATATCGTATCTTCGCACAGTGCCAAGGATCAAATTTTTTAAAATATAAATGACTAATATTACAAATACAAATTAAACTTAAGGTAGCCTACTAGAATAATATAAAAACTTAGATAAAACAGACGTCAAAGTTTGAGCTTTGAAAAAATAATTTACAGTTGAAAAAGGTAATAAATCGCGATACATATTCCGACATATTTAAAATCGCAATGTTGTATCATGACTTAAGTATCGTGATAATATTGTATCGTGGGTCCTCCGGTGATTCCCACCCCTACTAGACACCGGTCAAAAAGCAGAGATATTTTTATGACCAACTACAAATTTGTATCCCGTTCAGTCGAGGTGTTTTATGGAAAGTCGCAGACACAAGCCTGTGACGACGCACCTACATCATCGTCAATGTAGCTAGGCACACTGTTGTGTTGTCTCTCATAGTGTGAACGCAGCATCTGATGCAGATGGTGAAACCCAAAGCTGGTCAGGCCTGCTGATGTGCCTAGTTACAGTTACTAAGTAACTGCTGTTCTGGGGAGGGGTTTAGCAAACGGTCAAATGGCTGTCATACATGTATATTAGTTTCCGATGGGCATGTGCCTTAAATTTGTCTTCAAATCATCAGCCATTTGAATTCTGGCAAAAACACAACATCCATACAGTACAAATCTTACACTGTTAATAAGGATGTAGCATTTTCAGCACGACATGCAACAATACACATTAATGAAAACATACTGCCACAAAACACGATGGTACCGACATGTGATGTGACACTTCTCTTTAAAGAGTGTAGTAGAATCACATTGGTTTGCTGTGAACTCTTTGTGCTTTTAATTGATGCTGATACAAATGGAAAATAAAAACAAACAAGGCCATATCTATTTCTGCAAAATGTGCTTCACGATGCCGCACATTCGGGGGATGTGACTTCATCTTACGGGACACAGGCAGCTGGAATTCCTTGTTGTTAATCACACAGAAATGATTGAAGTATTTGCTCATGACTTGTCTTCTACCCTCTGCTTGTTTGCATTTAGAGGCTTGACATTCTTTCTGCTTCGTACTTCAATTTCACTTAATTATTCATGCCTTACAAGAATGTGAGAAGCGATGCAACATACCTTAGCTTTGGGAAGGAAAAAAATATTCCAGCTTTGTGTATTCCAAAGCCTCATGAAGGAGGATTTAAACATACAGGATGCAAATAACAAACAGAAACCCAAAATACTCAGGGCGCTGCTTTACATCATTTAGACTGCACTGTTCTGTCGCTCATGTGGAAGCAGATGCTGTCGGTACACTGAGAGTTTGGACATGAGACTTTCCAGGATATCAAATCAGCAGCTTCATCACAAGATATTTGGAAGATCTTCAGTGATATGAGAATAAGCTGACTGAGAGTCCACAAAGCGTCAGTTCTGGTTATCTTTAACAAAATAAAAATCATCTATTTACTCTTAAAGAGACAAATGTCTTGCCCGCCGCCCTCGGACTAAATAACTATTTGCTCTGAAGTGTCTGTTAAAGTAGAGGTTAGAGACTGCCAAGCAAAGTAAGACAGCTGGTTCTAGGAGAAACTGCTAATCTTTGGAGACCATAACTGTTTGAGTATAATATGTGTATACAAAGCGTGATTTGGCTATAGTGCTGCCTTCTGTTCAGAAGCTATCCCTACCTTGCTAAATCACATCCACAACAAAGTCCTTATGTGCAACCTCTCCGTCACCTAATCTTTGGCAGATGAAGACAAAACCAGTCTACATAGTGTAATTAGGGGCTTGCCAAAATTAGGTTCACCATATAAAGTGCGTTATTTGACACAGTAGTTCTACGTAGATTCTATTTCAATACCATATTTGCCATAATTTTCAAGATTATACTGTTATTGTATCTTTCTACACAGGTCACAGTTATCAATCTAAGGAACAGACAGTACATCCTTGTGATTTATACGTTTCTTTGACTGTACATTGATCTCTTTTTGTACATAAATTTGTGATTATATAATGAGTATACTGCTGAAAGAATGTGTAGACCCACTGGAAACTCTTCCTGCCTACAGCATGTCAGCTTCCTACAGCAACATCTCGCCATTATCCAAATCCCTCCAGCTCCTACTGACACCTCTGCCACTGTCTAATTTTACACGCAGAAGGAACAACAGTATTTGCCAACAGTAGTGGCTTGTGAACCACGTTTGAATGTGAGTGAGGCTGTCCAAAAAAGACGTTGTAAATGGCAGGATATGCCAGCATATCATGGTATATAGGCAGTTAATTACTGAGGTCATTGGTCGGTATGACATCCTTCTTCTTTTTTTTTTTTTTTTCTCAATGGGATCGTGGATTCTTCCCTAGACAGATGAAGCCGAAAATCATCTAAAAGTTTGCCCTAACTTTGATGTCACTTTACAGGATTTTAGGGTACATGTCCAATGTGATTACACGTTGAGAGAAGTTATCACCTCGTCTAATACTAATGTGACAGCACAGCAGCAACACTTCTTTGTTAATTGTTTACTCTCTCATTATAAGAGTATTAGCCTCGCTATAATTGTGCAGGCCTACAACACTGAGCCAAGAGTCAGTAGCCATAAAAGATGACCACAGGCTCACGCAGCCAAAAATACGATCTCTACAATATCATTTTGCTAGTGGAGGGCACTCACTATTTTTAACTGGGACTTTGGCTCATTCCTCGGGAATGTCCTTTGTTACCATTTTTCACGTGCAAAGAAAACAACTGCAACTGTACCAGGGCAAGATCCTACCGTTAAACAGTCCTGGATATTCACCAGGGAGGAGGCAGCATGAAACTTGTCACATGTAGCACACACTGTCTGCGGTATCCTCTCATTGTTTGCAGTACCAGGGCCACGCAGGCCCTTAAAACAAACCCCCCAACCCCCGTCTCACTCCTCACTCTCCTCTTCATCCCCCTTGGTGCCTTTACTCCAGCGCTGGAAGCAATGAACAGTTGACGCCAGGAAGAAGCTTGTCATGATGGCCACCACAGACACTGAGATGCCAGAGAAAATGATGATGAGCAGGTCTGTTAGAGTCAGGGTGGCCTGGCACTCACGGAAGCTGTCCTTGGAGAGCTGCGACAGGGATACACGTCTGCCGTCCATGGGGAGAGAGCACTCCATACTTTCCACCCCTGCGATGGAACAGGAAACAAGATTAGACAGATTTACTCGACATGCTCAGTCTGCTGAGTTGCAGTGAATAATGTCACATTAATGGACTTTTAGATGAATGTATTCAAATGGCAGCCGCTCAGAAATTGCATCATATAGAGGAGCGAGCACAGTGCAGCTACATCTGTGCTGCCTGTACTCCGCAAATGTAAGTACTCCTTTATTTCCCCAAAGATCTTTCATTTGAGGTGATGCATATATGCCCATTAGAGAAACAGCTCACACAGCCCACACCTGGTCAGAGGTCTGCAGTAATCAGAGTGTATATTTTGCAAGGTGTCTTGTTTGTACGCAAGTGTTTAATTCAGAAAGAGTCGTGTTGTAAAAGATGCGAATTCAACAGAGCGATGCAGTTTTTTCAGAGTGGGAGCTGATTTAATAACTGTAAGGTCAATCAGAAGTCTTCACTTATGAGATGAAGTTGCACTGTGTATACAGTACACCCACCCACAGCATGACTGCAGCTTCTGTGGAAATAAAGGAGCAATAATAAGACACTGTGAAGCACAGTGATAGTGTAAATGTAAAGTCCAACTGTTGAGGGTTTAAAACTATTTCATTTGCCCTGTTAAAGAGGCTTTATTTTTGTCCATATGTGTGTAGTGCTGTGTAAGCTGCTCTGGATGATCGTCATCTCTGTGCCTCTGACAACAAGACAAATCCATTTGCATCTTTTGTACACGGTTTGGAGAAAGGAGCAAACATCAATTTAAATCATTTTAATTTAAGATGCCAGCTGCACAAGACAAATCTCGAAGAATATAGTCCTTCATTAAATGTGACTCCTGGTCGCGTCTCAAAAATTTACTGATGTATGAGTAAAGGGCAGCGTCTGAGACGGGGGCACCTTGACCAAACTCATCTCACGATGGAAGTATGATAAATCAGTGAGCGCTGCCCTCCATGTCTCTGTCACTAGCACATAGTTTATTGTTCAGCCATCATTTAAATGGAAGAGGACAGTGGCTGTGGTTTATTGTGTGTCAAGGGTACAAGTCTTGCATTGAGCCTACTTTCCCAACTCATGACTACAAATGAGATCGAGACTGGATCATTAGAGCAGCTTTAAAGGGACAGTTCACCCCAAAAATATATGTTTTTCCCCTTACCTGTAGTGCGATTTATTAATCTAGATCATTTTGGTGTGCGTTACCAAGCCATCGATCTGAATCGATATATATATATATATATATATATATATTCAATGATCAACAATCTATGTTGTCATCTTTAGGACATGCTTTTATTTTGAAAGTCGTTACTTAAAACAGCAGCAGGCAGATGGCAAGCAGCCAAGAGAAAGACGAAGAGGATAAAGTTATTAACCAGGGAACAATCCCAAATACTGATTTCGGAGAAAATAAAGGGGTCAACAGACAAAGAATATGCCGTATGCAAACAATGCAGTTATGAGATAAAACACGCCCCAACGTTACCGGCCTGGACGGGCATCTTACTTTGCTGACTTCTCACTACAGCAACATTAGCTGTGCTGTTTCAACTATCTTATGCTGGTAAAAATGCGCATGCAGGCTAAAATTCATATAACTGTGTTGTTCTGTCGAGAAATGCTGTGACATAAACCACCGGTGAGTAAGAAAAAGAATAAATAATACGTGCCATTTAAGTTATGAATGGAGGAAAGTCCGCTAGCCACTAGGCTTGTTTATGCATCATAAACATGCTAAAGCTAATAATGAGTGATTATCAAAAAACAACTGACAGTTTTTATTAAGATTAACTTGATACTTTTACTTAATGATCTTCTTGTTTTATGTCTTTTGTAGGGGTGGGGGAAATTTCCGATTCTTAGATGCATCGCGATTCGGACGTGAACGAATCTGAATCGATTCACAAACGTCCAAATTTCGATTATTTAAATCTGTTAATTAGAGTAATACAGAAGGTTCTAAATAATGCCGAACTAAGAAGCGCGGTACGTGTCATCTCCGGGACACTTTGGGATGCGCACCTGAAGCAGACACGGTGACACGCGCACAGAGGAAAACAAACATGGCTGACCGCTACCCACCTCGCCGTGAGAGCTGAACAGTTTCTTCTAATTTAAAAGCAGACGTGTGGAAATACTTAGGCTTCTACAACGTTGACGGCGGAAGCGAACTGGACAAGAGCCACGTTATATATAAGCTGTGTCGTGCTAAAATAAAATACTTTGGTAACACAACAAACATGAGAAGCCATGTAACTCGATTCCACCTGACGGAGGAGTCAGGGAGACGGCAGGCTGTTGTTGCTGCGGCTACTAGTGGCGCTACTGACCAGAGAACAATCGAGGAAGCAATTAGAAAGCTGCCACCCTCATCGGAAAAGGCGAAGCGAATTACGAAGGCCATCGCTGCATTTATTGCCAAGGATTTGCGTCCTTATTCTGTCTTGGAAAATCAGGGATTTCGAGCACTGCTGCATACACTGGAGCCCAGATACACCATCCCATCCCGACGCTATTTCACCGACACTCTACCATCAAACCAAAACAGAAGTCATGGCCTCACTGTTGAAGGCAGGTAGGTAGGAACGCAGTTACATGTGATGCGTGGACGTCTGTCGCCACCGAATCATTTGTTACTCTAACTGCGCATTTTATCTTGTGATTTAAGATACCTGTTGTTACCTTTGGTTCCATACAACGAAGTTGTAACTTTTCAGTTTGCAAGCATTTCCATTTATATGTTTAATAAAATATAATGGAAATGAATTCAACTATTTATTACAAATGCACTGTTTTTAAAAATTGCAAGTGTTGAATGCTTATTCAGTGAGACAAAAAGAAATGTGTGTTGTGAAAAAGTGCATCAATATACATAAATTAAAGATGCATCAATAATTGTTTTATAATCGAATCGTAGCCCCTGAATCGTAATCGTAATCGAATCGTGAGGTGCCCAAAGATTCCCACCCCTAGTCTTTTGGGTGAAGTTTGCTGTCAGGGTTTTAAACCAAATAGAGATGAAGTTTAATGAAACCGATGATGGTTTGGGTTAAAATCAAAACACTTCTTTCAGAAAGGACTTTTGGGAAGAACTTAACTTATTTACTGTGCTTTGTAATGTGTGTTAATGAAGTCAGTATAAAGTAAACGCACACTGCACTGCACTGCAATCGTATCATGGCAGACTTTGTACTATCAGCAAATATTGTATCGTTGCCCAAAGAATTGATATGATACCTGATCGTGATGAAACCAGTGATTTACACCCCTATTGCCGTGTACTGGAGATATCAGCCGTAGAGATGTCTGCCTTCTCTCCAATATAACGGAACTAGATGGCACTCAGCTTGTGGTGCTAAAAAATATCATTTTAAAAAAATCAACAGCAATTTCTCTTTCCAGAAATCATGATCTGGTTACTCATGATAATCCACAGACCTTGTTGTGAGCAGTTTCATGTTGGAACTATTTTCTTTCTACTGAACTACACACGCCGACTGTGTCATCATGCAAAAGGAAGCATCCACCTTAGTTTGATACTAGCTACCTTACCTGAACTAGCTAGCGTTACAGCTCATCTCTGTCCACCCTGTCACAAGCACAAGATACTCATCGATTAATAGAGAAATGCTTCCTTTTGTGCAGTGATTTGGTTGGCTGACAAGCCAAGTGCCATCTAGTTCAATTACAACTGAGAGAAGGCAGACAACTCTATGGCCGATATCTCCAACATCAGGGAACTCACACCAAAACAATCTAGACTGACAAACAGCACTACAGGTAAGAGGAAAAACACATATCTTTTAATTTTGGGTGACCTGTCCTTTTAACTGTAATATGTTAAAGACTGGTCGATGGTATTACCACTGAAACTACATTACAGGGTGTTCACTTCCCACTGCTTACAGAGTAATTGATTCTACTTGTTCTACTGACAACTTTGTCAACCTCTGAGTTTAACCTGAAGTGCTAATTACACACTTATAATGCTGTTCCAGTGAATGAGAACTGCAAACACTTCAGACCATAATCTATACAGCCATTAACTGCCTTCATATTGACAATGTACAGTATGGAAAAACTAGACATATTGATGTCAATGTTAGCTTAAAGGTGGGTGGAGATGAAGCCTTGCAATGTGGGCGGCTACTTCTACTGATACTGCACATGCAAATGCACACACTTGGCAGTACATCAATTCTGGCTCCTTGCTCAACAGTCAGCACATTTTGCAGCATGCTTTGTTATCACACAAATGTAACAGCGCATCTTATGACTTTATGTTCAATCACCAAACCTTAATTCTGAGTGTGTGTTTAAACATGTCAGTGTTACTAAAGCAAGTAGATAGCAGAACTTTAAGTATACAACTCAACTTCCAATAATATAACATGCTTATATTAGTCAGTTATGTAAAACTTAGTTGGACATGTACCAATATGTGTAAAAAATTTACTTTCAACCGTTTAGTGATAATGGAAAAAGGAAATAATGGAAATCAGTGATGGCATGGAATTGGTTTCCATGCTCCTCCGATTGACTCTCTACACTATTAATTAGGTTCGTAACTGAACTCTTTAAGAGCTTGATAAAACTTAGTGACACTAATCCCTAATACGAGATACAGATTCTCACGTTCCCTCTAACAGTCAATTAGTAGAGGACGCAAGATATACTCACACACACACAAACACACACATACACATTAAAACGCCCAACTTACAGGAAAATAATACATCAGTTATGTTTTTATTTTATATTAAGTGTCTGTTTTTGTTGTTTAACATGTCATTTTTCGAAGAGATTCTGCCTGTATTGTAGACTTACATCTCTGACAGAGATCTGACAACAGTATTCACAATGCATATGAGCGTGTTGATGTTTTGATCTCTTTTCATGTATTATTTTTTTGCATCCAGCACTTCCTTGACTTGTGGCTTTGTGCTGCAGCTCTGAAGCTTTCTTAAAGATTACATTGTCTGTACCGAGGGTAGGTACAGAGTTTGGCAA